CCTCTCTCCAAGCTCCCTCTTCGTAGGCCCCTACAAAGATTCATTTCCATTGAGGGAACTGCCCCGTTGGAAACCAACCGTTTAAAGACCCTGAAGCGTGCCAAAACATTGCTCTCGGAATGTCAACGCCACGTATCAACCTGACTGCTGCGTCTTGACGGTCTGGAATCGTGCCAGAACGCCATTTATTGGGACTTCAACACCGCGAATCAACATAATTGCTGCGCCCGCATAATCCAGAATCCTTCCAAAACGCCATTTCTGGTACGTTGATCTTGGACATCCGTGAAGCTCATGCAATTTTGAAAACGAATGTGCGCGGCGCTATGGCGAGAGCCACATTTTGAAAAAGACCCGCCCTCAATCCGTGAAACTCTTGCAAATTTTGCAATGCCGCCCCCCTTTTTCCAATGGCCCCCCCTTTTTTCCAATGGCACTTGCTTGCTTGCTCTTGCGTGCTTGCTCTCGCTGGCTCTTGCTTGCTTGCACTTGATCGCTGCCTCTTGCTTACTTGTTATTGCTCGCTTGCGCTTGCTTGCTTCCGCTTGCTTGCTTGCGCTTGCTTGATTTTTCTTCTCCCGTTCTCCTCCCGTCCTGCTCCCGTCCTCCTTTCGTCCTCCTCTCATCCTCCTTTCGTGCTCCTCCTGTCCTCCAAAATGCTGGCTGGCTGATATGCTACTGCGGGAGCCACATTTTGAAAAGGAACCGCCCTCAATCCGTGAAGCTCCTGCCAATTGTGAAAAACGAATGAGCGCGGCGCTAAGGCGAGAGCCACATTTTGAAAACGACCCGCCCTCAATCCGTGAAGCTCTTGCAAAGGTTGAAAACGAACGCGCGCGGCGCTAAGGCGAGAGCCACATTTTGAAAACGACCCGCCCTCAGTCCGTGAAGCTCTTGTAAGTTTTTAAAACGAATGTACGCGGCGCTGAGGCGAGAACCACATTTCGAAAGCGACTCGCCCTCCATCTGTGACGCTGTTGCCACTTTTGGAGCCTCAGAGTCATTTTTGGTGAGGATCTCAGGCGAAGCGCCCGACCCGTCCTAAAAACTGGTCCCGGGGTGCGACAGGGAGAAGTTGTCTATAGGGAACGTGAATGGGGGAGGAGGAGGAGGAGGAGGAGGAGGAGCAGGATGAGGAGGAGGAGGAGAAGTAGCAGGAGGAGGAGCAGGAGGAGGAAGAGGAGGAGGAGGAGGAGGAGGAGGCTGATGAGGAGAAGGAGGAGCAGGAGGAGCTTCCGTGGGGTGGGGAGAGGGAGCCCCCCTCCGCCAGCGCCACCGCCAGGGGGGGGGAGGAACCCCCTGCTGCAGCCAGGGTGGGGTGCGGCACCGCCTCCGTGGAGGACATACGTCCCGCCGCCTCTGTGGAGGAGGGGAAGAATCCCAGGGCCCCCTGCGGCGGCGAGAAGGCAAACATCGCGCTTCCCGCCTCGCGGTATGGGCCAGGGCGGTGGCTCTGATCCACAGGGGCGGGGGCTGATGGGGTGGGAGTAGTAGTAGTAGTAGTAGTAGTAGTAGTAGTAGTAGTAGTAGCAGTAGTAGTAGTAGTAGTAGTAGTAGTAGTCGTAGTCGTAGTCGTAGTCGTAGTCGTAGTCGTAGTCGTAGTCGTAGTCGTAGTAGTCGTAGTAGTAGTAGTAGTAGTAGTAGTAGTAGTAGTAGTAGTAGTCGTAGTAGTAGTAGTAGTAGTAGTAGTAGGCGTAGTCGTAGTCGTAGTCGTAGTCGTAGTCGTAGTCGTAGTCGTAGTCGTAGTCGTAGTCGTAGTCGTAGTCGTAGTCGTAGTCGTAGTCGTAGTCGTAGTCGTAGTCGTAGTCGTAGTCGTAGTCGTAGTCGTAGTCGTAGTCGTTAGTCGTAGTCGTAGTCGTAGTCGTAGTCGTAGTCGTAGTCGTAGTCGTAATCGTAGTCGTAGTCGTAGTCGTAGTCGTA